AAGCCAGGGTGAACAAAGGTCCGGGCTATGGCTACAATGGGAGGGGGTTAGAGCACTGTCTCCTGGGCCCTTTGTTATTTAGCATGGGCTTGTAATTCAAGTCATACATATTGTTATTTCCTCATCTGTCTTGTTTAATCTACACCTTTGCACACGTAATAAACCGCTTTCCATCAACCCGTGAGGCAGCCACTGCATTAGGTCCACTTCACAAACGAAGGAGCACAGTCACATCGGACCCATTCTAGTTGCCCCAAATGTAAGCAATACTTTTAACACACGGCTCTCTAGTACAAGAACCAAAGCTACTGTGATGACGAGTAGGAAAGATAAGCTTTCTATACATAACCAGGGGAAATGTCATGGCTTAAATTCCTGGACTGTTCAAATCTTTGGGCGTCTCTCTGAGGACTAAAGTCGTGTATGCAGCACCCCACCAACATGCAATAAACCGTCATTTAATTTAGCAAATGTTTACACAGTGGCAAGGAAAGCTGCCCTGATTCCTGCCTCTATTGGATGGCTGAGGGGAAGGGGATAAGAGTGGAGGGGAAAAGGGGGAGATCTTTGGGGCTGTGAAGCCAAAGGAAGCTAAGAACGTGCTGAGACTAAGTCTTCCAGTTTAGGAAGTCAAGGGCTGAGGCCGTTCATTATATCTGGGGCCTGATGAAGCTTTCTTCTCTGTAAGAGAACCTTCCAACTCTCACTCCAGCTCAGCGGATATCAGGCAGCTCTGTGGGACAACAGGGCTCAGGCATCATTGCCGGCTGACAGAACGAGTCAACAAGTTCATGCCCCCCCCCAGCACCACGAATTCTCACGTGTGTTTTCCCACCTTCAAGTGTGGAAAGATGTATGCAGAAGAAAATGGTTTGCATTGCAAATTGGATTTTTCCATGTGTTGCTGAGCAGCCCCTGTGGTTTTGGCAGATGGAGGTAGGTGTGCAAATCTGGCCGCGATACCTCCTCCAACTGCACGAGTGGAAGATCAGCACGGGGTGCAGAATCGGTTGGCATCTGCTCCATCAGGACAAGTGACCAATGCTGCTTGGACGCAGCCTCCCCAGCCAAGTGCACCCCTCCAGTTTTCATGCTTTTTGGGGAATTCCCCTAGGGAACTAACCGTGTGGTAAACCTCATTCTAAATATTGCATGTGTAACAAACCACCCAACCTTCACATCAACCCATGAGGTAGCCACTGTGTTATCTTCTTTTCTCAAAGGAAGAAACAGTCACAGGGCAGATAAACAGATGGTTATATATGTAAGACGGAAATGAGCCGTGTTTTAAATCTGAACAGAGGGATTCTGGACTCCACGCAGCATGCAGGGTCTCGCATCTGAAAGGCAGGAGATGCTGGGATCCAGTCCTGGCTTTGTCTCTTCCTCAAACCATAGGCTGCTGAGAGCAAACTGTTCTCAGCCCTGTGCATCTTGAATGTATTTCTCATTTCGTGCACTTGGAGGAAGCCAATACCATTGTTAACTTTACATGTGGAGAAACTGAGTCCCAGAGGGGGTAAAGAACTTGCCCAAATTTACAAAACGAGTAAGAATTGGAGCCAAAGTTCTAAAACTCTGACGCAGAGTCTGTGTTCTTAAATCTAATAGCATCCTCTCCCTTCCCCTTACTACTTTCCCTGGTATTTGACCTCTGAGCCTCAGTTTTCCTGGCCATAAAATGGAGATAACATCAGCAATTATTACAAAAAACAGTGTGGGGTGAAAAAAGAATGGTATGTGAAGAAGACCTACACTGCTCTATACTCACTGAGTTACAATCTGAGTTTCCTGGATTGCTTTAGGTTTACTCCTTCTTTCACATGCGTATCCCCAGTCAAGTACAAGTTTCTCAAAGTAGAAAAAAATGGTTTCTCTGCTTATAATTTTATTTCTGTTAACCTTTTCTGGACAAACAAATGAGGTTTGATACACGCTCCTTAAATAAGCACAGACAAGAAGGACAGCAATGCCAGAGGGTTCTGTCTCAGGAGGAAGCTTCATTGACTCTTCAAGTGAGGCGTCCTCCCCTGCACCTGAAATTAGTTTTCACCTCTTTCACGCTCTGCTGTTCTGCAGAGGCCAGCCTAGTTGTTTCTATGTTTCTCTGCTTGCTTATTTGTTTTTCCAGTGCTAGGAACCCAGGGTCCTACTTACTTACCCCAGGCAAGTGCTGTCTCACTGAGCTACACCCCCAGCCCCATCCAGTGGTTTCATGCAGAAGAACTGGATCCCAGACAGTTGCTGAAGCACAACTTTGTCTTCCACGTTGAAATATCAACGAGGGGCTGTCAGGTACCTGAGACTATTCTCTCCAACATGGTGGGTCCTTAGATGTCGGAGTCTTTGAATGTGCTCCTCCTTCTGCTGGGCGCGTGTCCCCGTATTCTCCCAAAGCTGCTTCTTTCCCACATTTGGGGTCTCTTTCTCAGAGACCTTCATCCTTGGCTTAAGTAACTCTTTCACTCAGTCGGTCCCAGTGGCTCTCTTCGTGCTTCTCCATAGCATTTTCCCAGGCTGGGAGTTGTCTTGTTTATGCGTTCACTGCCTGACTCCCTCAACCTGAGTTTAAGCTTCTTGAGTGCAGGGAACTCTATTTTTCTCTCCACTGCATCGCCAGATCCTTGGCAGAAAGTAGGTGTTTATTAAATTTTTTGTGGACTCAGAACTGGAAGACAAGCCAACATCTCCAAACTAGGAAGCCTGCATTGAGGGCACACGTAAGGAAGGGCTCCAGGCCCTGTGTGTTGCCCTAGAGCCGCACATGAGTGGAGCACCATGGCTTGGCCTGTGGCAGCCTCAGCTCCAACCCTAATTCACACACTCTGGTGTTTTGCATCAGAACATCTACATCATGAAGCCAGGGCTCGAGCAGCTGTTCTGGCTCTTACTAGCTGGGTGACCTTGAGCCAGTTATTTCAACCCACTGTACCCACATTTTTTATCCCTACCATGGGAGATGCACTCATGAAGACTGAGCGAAATAGCACATGTACCATTCTTAATCCAGCATCTGGCACGATGTAAGCTTGCAATAAATTATAGCTCTGAATTTAGTACTGATGCAACATAATTTACACTTGTGCCACTAATCTTTCTTTCTCGTTAGATTATCACTAATTGATTATGACTTATTTTTTGTTTAAAAAAAAAACCAAAAAATAAAAAATGGCCTCAACACCTTCTCAAGGCTGTCCTTGCCTATATAGTCATGGGCAATCAATCTTTTGGAGTTGGCACACAAACAGAAACCTATTATCCCTTCCTCACTCAGGAAGCTCTCACCAGCTGTCAAGCAGGATTATTAACATTAAACTGGGTGTCCAGAAGTAAATTTGTAGTTAATTTTCCTTCTGAGTGAGTGGCAAATTCAGCAGGATTCATCCACGGACAAACACACTGGCGTAGGAGAATAAAAGGTAATGGGAGAAGTGGGACTCTTAACAGATGAGGGTCTAGGGGAGGTCTCGCTTCCTCCACTGGCTTCAGCTCCCAAGAGGCTACAGAAATAAGGATGCTTTGAAGGCAGGGGTGAGTAGTGCTCTGATTTACTTTCTCACACACTCTTTTGGATCAAACAGCTCGATGGAAACTGGGAGCTCACGAGGAAAAATCATCTCTGATGTTGATGGGCTTCCTGTGAACACTCACTGAATATTCCCTCTCAGAATTTTTGGATTCCTACCTATATAAAAAGAGGCCTGTAGTCTTAATAAGTTATTTTTAAATGATAATGTAGCAGGTTACCCCCTTCCTTCCTTCCCTTCCTTTCCTTCCTTCCTGTTCCATTTGAAATTGACAATGGGACTTCTTAAATGGCTTTTCCAAGAGCTGAGAAGCCTGCTGCTTCTTTGGATAGTAATGTTTTCAGAAGAAAACGAGAAGCTAGAAAAGATAAAATTAAAAATTACACTGTACTTAATTTACTTTGAGAAGTTTGGCTATAGTAAAATTGCAAATTAGATGGTACTGGCCTCTAACACCTGCAGGCTCCTTCTTTGATCCTATCTTTGGTGGTTTTTCTTCATTCCCTGAAGGACCCTGAGTCTCCAACCTTCTCCATCACTTTTATCATCAAAAGTCTCCTGCAGTAGGGATAGGGGTATAGCTTCATTATAGAGTGCTTGCCTAGCATGCAAATGTCTCTGAGTTGTATCCCCAGCACTGAAAAAGTCTTCCTGCAGGATATTAGTTGGGGGGGGGCAACACCTCCCAAAATGGAAAAACCTAGCCCATTTGATGTTTCCTGTAATAGGTAACACATAGAGTTCATGGTTTAAGGATTGTCACAGGCTGGAATTTGTCTCCACCAAATTTATATTTCAACCTCTTAACTCCAGTACCTCAAAGTGTGACTTTATCTGGAGACAAGGTCTTTTAAAAAGTAATTAAGATTATGCGAGTTCACTGAGGTGGGCCCTGCTCCAATATGGTCCATGTCTTTATAAGATGCGGAGATTAAGACACGGGCAGGTAGTGGGGAGACCAGGTGAGGACAGAGAGAGAAGACAACTATCTACAAGCCAAAGAGAGGCCTCAGGAGAAACCAACCCTGTTGAGTCTCAGACCTTGGACTTTTAAGTCTTTACAACTGTGAGGAAGTTTCCTGTTGCTTGATCCAGCTAGTGGGTAGAATTTCAATATGGTAGCCTCAGGCAACTAATGCAAGCAGAGTGGTCAGACCTACGCTAGAATCTCAACTCTTCCGTTCAGGAAGTGTGAAACCTCAGGCATTGAAGCTCTCAGAGCTTCTCTTTCCTCACCTGCCAAGGGGAAAATAAATGCACTTCACTAGGTGGCCCTGAGGATCAAATGACACTGCATGCTACTGGCTAACATGATGCTTGCACAGTACTGGGCAGTTAGCATGAAGTAGCGCTTTTACCACTATTATTGCTGCTCTATTGAAATTACAACTGGATTCTGTAGCATTACTTACATTTATACAGTAGATACTCAAAAAATATTAACAGGGCACACTGCCCCCGTGGCTTCTCCTTCCTAAGGAGCCCTTAATTCCAATACAGATGGCATCAGAAGCTACAAATACAACCTTTGACTCCAAAATGCAGGTAAGAATTGTGGGAAATAGAAGCACCGTCCATCCTATAATAAAAGAGGCAGAAAAAAGTGTGATCAGTGAGAAAATGCCTATACTGACAAATGAAATAAGTTCTACACTTATGGACCTATGAGTGACTATCATTAAACAAATAGTGTATTAAGCCATTAATACTAATAAAGAAGCAGCTCATTTCTAAATAATTTCCTAGAAAAGCTTCTTAAATATAGGTTCTCAGGTATCAGGCATCAACTCGGACAGTTATCTAATAATCATGGTTTCAGGTCAGGCACATTAAATTTCAAATAAACATTCTTATTTTCTATGTTCAAATTATCATTAGTAATACATGGTTTCTCCAGTAACTTTCAACATGAGAAGAGATGACAGCACTAAAGCTTAAACCATTTCTTCTATGTCACAGTTTTACATAACCATTTCGGACCATTCACAATCCCAATACTTGGGAGGCTGAGGCAGGAGGATCACCATGACTTTAAGGCCAGCCTGGGCTACATAATGAGTAACTTCAATTATCATTTTCATAATGATAATTTCAACTACATAGTGAGGATCTGTCTCAAAAAAAAAAGTTTTTAAATTTTAGAAACCAGACCATTCAATACTAATTACCTACAAGGCACTCTCCACAGGAAATATAAATATGTCGTGTTTCCTTGCTTACCCTCAGATCAGAACAGAAATGACCCCCATAACAGGAGAGAGCAAAGATTGGCTTATGGTTGTTACAAACGGTGTAACTGAACCTTTGCTGCATATATATCTTGTTTACTAAACCAAGTAAAGATAGCAATATTTGTTTCCCAGTTTTCTTAACTAATGACAAGTCGATTGTTTTATTCACTTTAATCCCTCTGCATTTACATCTCATGGGACAATCATGAGCACTGAAGATAGGATCACACTTGATTTCCTTTCTGTTGCATCCTTAGATCCCCAGGAACCTTTCTTGACCTCCCTCCTCAAGCTCCTGATCCGTTCATGGGTGAATGTGGCTTGTGAGTGCACCAGAATCCTCGATGGAATGATTCCCAGCATTGCTGGTTTTGCACCTGAGGTGACCGTACTGTTTCTCCCTGCACAATGCTGCAATATGTCAATCAATTTTTATCAGTCAGCCACAGTGTTGCTCTTTCTTTGGAATCCCAATCCATGAAGTTTTCAGAAATTTACCCCCTTTCTGGAATTCATGTCATTATACTCTGCTCATGAACAGCTTTTGTCTTACTCTCTCAAATCAAACATTAACTCCAAAATGGCAAAGTTGATTTCCTCAAGTGCCTCATAGGTGAGCAACTGTGATCTCAACTTCCCAGCCCTCAGAAATGTGAGCCAATAAATTTCTGCTCATTATAAATTACTGAAGCAATGCTGTTCTGTGATAGCAGCACAAAATGGAGCAAAATAGGGTGACTTCTACATTTAGTAGGTTGTAGAATTTACTTTACACTTTTTCACTTTCAACATGGTATAAAGGACTCCAGTGCCAATCTGATTTTTTTTTCTTTGTAATTAGGTTGTGGGGATTTTTTTTTAATCTAGGAGATTGTACAATGTTCTCTTTTCCTTTACATTGATCTGTATATGCCTGGGTCATTTTTCATCAACATCGTCTATAGTTCTAAAATCTCTTTAGTCTTAATCTCTTATCTTTCTTTTGTTCAGAGAAATTATTTTCCCAATTGTAGTTTCTTCTCTATCCACATTTTTTTTCATATTCTGAAATTCCTAGTATTCACAAATTAGGTCTCTTGGATATAATCTCCTACTCTCCTACCTTAATATAGGATTCACCAAAACTCCATTTTCTCTCCACTGCTTCCCAAAGTAATATGTCACTCACAGTTTGAAATACTGCAGAATTTATATATACTTCCAGTAGAAATAATCACATGGTTTAAAATATCAGGAACTTAGTAAGACCCTATTTCAAATACAAAAAATTTTTTTTAAATGTTGGGGATGCAGCCCAGTACAAAGGCCCTGGATTAATTACCAATACTAAAATAAATAAAAATACCACAGAATACCAACAATAAATATGGTATTAAAAGATAATATAGAATATCTAAAATATGAAACCTAAATTAATGGGCTAAATTATGCCATAGAAAGAAGTTTCTTCATACTTTCTTTTGAAAACAGAAACATCACACCTAACATTTTTCAAATGACTTAATTTTTACAAATCACATTCAGTAATACCCTTAATCACTAAGCAATTAATACCCTTAATCACTAAGTATTTGTGTGTGTAGGTCATAGAATTTTAAATTGTCAGCCTATGATCGACTCCTTGCTTTGAATTTACCCCTTACAAGAAAGAAAAGATGAGGAGAGGAGACAATGTAGAGAGAGAATAAGAATGAGAATCCTCTCTGTGTTCGTTCTTCAGGTTCAGAGACTATTGTGTCAATAACAGTGAAAGATGAAAAGATATTTTCCATCTTTCACTGGAAAAGATTAAGTTTTTTCAAAAATTGAAAAAGCTACTGGTGTATTTTAAATTTGCTCAACTTACTGCTGAAAAAACATCAGGTTTCAGAGGATAATCGGGCATTTTATCCAAATAAGAACATCTGAATCACAGCAGGAATGCTGAATTTACAGGGCTATCCACCCTCCTGCCTCAGGGCATAGACGGATCACCAGCTGGATAAAAGAAGATATTTCCCCAATGGGATGGTATTTCTATAATATCATTGATTACATTCAGATACTCATTCCCCCTTAAGGATATCTCACTGGGGAGTTTAAAGTACAGACACCATAACCATAAAAAGGAAAATCTTCAAAAGCCTACTGAAATATTTTAGAGGAACGAATATGGGAAAAATAATAACGTCTCAGAGATGATACAGCAGAATATCAGAGAAGTTAACAATGACCATTTGGGGTATTTGTCACACAGAGAAATTGACAGTGTAAAACTCCACATTCACTCAACATTTGAATGAACAAAGGAACAAACTTTCATTGTGCCTAAATTCAAACTCCAGTCTCAACCAATATTTGACCTTGAGTACTTACTCAAGTATCTTTTTTTATCCTCAAGTTATTAACCCGAAGAATGATGGTAATTCTCATTACAGGGAATTGGGCCAAGTAATGCATATAAATAAACAAATCTGCTGCCTGGAACAGGGTGAATCCTCAATAAGTAACATTCATTTTAAGAGCTCTCCTCGAAGTGAGTGATTTAGCTAACTCTTGGTCAAAGAGATCTAACAAATCTCAAGATACTTCAGACCCTGTGTACTGACTGTACAGGAATCTATACTGTAGTGAATCTGTATTGTGTGAAGGTCTGAATACCCAACACTATTACACTACCAGCCTTTCCCTGGGAAACGTCCTTTCCTTTGAACTAAGTACAAGCTCTCAGCTAAGAAGCAGGCCTTTCACCATAGATAGTAGCCACTGTGATGAAGTTCATATTCAATTCCTCACTTCTGGGACCCACAGTCACTGTGATTTTTTTAAGAAAAGATGGTAACTTACAATGGCAGTGACACTTCTTTCAAACAGTTTCTCAGTAATTAACTACTTGGTGTGAGCACATTCTCTTGGGACCCATAAATTAGATGTGTCCCGCAAAGTACAAATGACATTGCAACCACGCTTAGAGAAAGTCTGAAACATGCCTTTAAACAGATAACATACACCTTTAGGTGCTCTGGTCTCAACTAGTTAACAACCAGGTTAAAGGCAAACTGCGAAGCATTCATGATTAACATGGCTTTAACTAAAAATGATTTTTGCTCCTACAGGCTGATCAACTACTATTGTCATTGCAACTAAAAGTGGTGTTGGAAAGATCACCTCACTTATTGCACTATTTCTCTACGAATAAGACTGCAGAAAGTCCTTTTTTTCTAGGCAATACAGTGGTTCTAAATTATAAATGTTGTTGCACAGAATCAAGTTACCTTTTTTGGGAGGTGGAAATTTGGAAAATTTTTCTCATAATTTGGAAATAAGTTTTATCACTGCATGAATCGCTCAGCAAAAGTCAGCCGTGTACTATTTCCAATAAGTTACTAGTGTAGCATGTCACTTGATTCGGTAATTTTCCTTTCCTTTTTTTTTTTTTCCTTTTCTATCACCATATCAACAGTTTTGCAGACAGTGTCATCTCCAGCTATGTCTAGGGAGAAGAGGCAGAGGGGGAGCTTGCTTAATATGTAAGGATCACGCTGAAATACACCCCACACACTCTCACCACTACCACCACCACGCCCCTCCCAAGAGGAAAGAGAAAGAAACCTCCATGCTGGAAGGTGTGATCGATTTTCAGGGCATGTGACATTGAATAATGTTTGCAGCCAAACACTGAGATTCCGAAGCCATACAGTGATTCATTCAGAGCTAGTTACTAAACGACAGGCACTCAGAATAGGCAAACTCGTCCTGCCTCGACTGAACCCACGTTCCAGCTGGCCTTGGGGAGCTTAGCCAGGCCACAGCTTGGGAGGCAGAGACAGGGACGACAGAGGGGAAGCACAGGACCTGAAATGAAGGTGGTATCAATTTCGACTAATGCTGAGACTTCACTTTGGTTACCTCGCTAAGTCTCAAGACACGCACGCCAGGAAGACGCTATTAACCCCCTTTGGACACTGGGGCCTCGGACGAAGCGGAAGGAGGCCTAGCGGTTCTCGCCAAGGCTCCCGCCCAGCGCCGTCAGGCTCCAGGTGGGGGCGCTCGAGGCTCCGGCTTCCGGGAAGAGGAGACGCCGAGCGGCCCGGGTGGAGGCCGGCAGCGGAGAAGGGGCGTCCTACACTGCGCAGCTCTCGCCCACGGTGTTGCCAAACGCTCCAGGCAGACGAGAAGCATCCGCCCCCTCCGCCAGCCCACTGGCGGTGGGGAGGAGGTTCTCACGCCCCCTGATACTGGGTGACTGCATCGCAGGTCGGAAGGAAGCAGGGTGACGCATGAGTCATCCCGCCTAATTCCTCCTTCCTGGGCCCCCCCCCATCCTCCGCACACCGACCCCCTCCCGAGGTCCTGCAGCCGCCAGCGAGAAACAGAAGAATCTGCTTCTCCTCAGACTTCTCCACCAAAACCCCTGTGGCCTGCGGCTGAGAGGAAACAGACAGGACGTTTGACCAATGAGAGCTCCGCTCTCTCGCCCGCCGTCCAATGAGCCTCTGCTCCCTAGCGGGGCGGGGCTAGGAGGGCAGGAGGGGGCGGCCCCTGGCCAGCTCTCAGCACGGTGGCTCGGCAGCTCACACAGCTAGCGCATCGCAGGGAGTCGGAGTCGGGACTACTCGGGAAGGCGCCTCCTCCGCCGCTGCTGCTGCTGGCCAAGGTGCTGGACGCGACAGGGCCGCCGGCTACCCCAGCAGGCCAGGCATCCGCAGCTGCAGCTGCAGCCTCGCTTCCCGCCAGGTTCCCATGGAAGAAATGGAGGAAGAGTTGAAATGCCCCGTGTGTGGCTCCTTCTACCGGGAGCCCATCATCCTACCCTGCTCCCACAACCTGTGTCAGGCGTGCGCCCGCAACATCCTGGTGCAGACCCCGGAGTCCGAGTCCCCTCAGAGCCGCCGGGCCTCTGGCTCTGGGGTCTCCGACTATGACTACCTAGATCTGGACAAGATGAGCCTGTACAGCGAGGCGGACAGCGGCTACGGCTCCTACGGGGGCTTCGCCAGCGCGCCCACCACTCCGTGCCAGAAGTCCCCCAACGGAGTCCGCGTGTTTCCTCCAGCCATGCCGCCACCGCCCACCCACCTGTCACCGGCCCTGGCCCCGGTGCCCCGCAACTCCTGTATCACCTGTCCCCAGTGTCACCGCAGCCTCATCCTGGACGACCGGGGGCTCCGCGGCTTCCCCAAGAACCGCGTCTTGGAAGGGGTCATTGACCGCTACCAACAGAGCAAAGCCGCGGCCCTCAAGTGCCAGCTGTGCGAGAAGGCCCCCAAGGAGGCCACCGTCATGTGCGAACAGTGCGATGTCTTCTACTGCGACCCGTGTCGCCTGCGCTGTCACCCGCCGCGGGGACCCCTGGCCAAGCACCGCCTGGTGC